TTTGTTTTTTGAGACAAAGTCTCATATAGCTCAGGCTAGACTCAGACTTACTATGTAGCCCAGGGTGACCTTAATCTCCCGGTCCTCCTGCCTCAGCTTCCCACATGCATCCACCACCTTCCTGGCTACATCCTAATGACTCGAAAGCACATTCTAGACACAGTCTCACTTTCTGAGGACGGCTTTTCCTCCTGGAGCTGTCAGAGGGTCTCAGGAGTGGAGGGACAGGCTCTGGCTTGTTTGTTTGTTTTAGGCCTGTGGGTGGTGGTGGGTCTCACTGCTTTCTTAAAGTTCTGATGTTGGTCCTTAATCATCAGAGAAATGCAAATCAAAACGACTCTGAGATACCACCTTACACCTGTCAGAATGGCTATGATCAAAAACACGATTGACAGTCAATGTTGGAGAGGATGCGGAGCAAAGGGAACACTCCTCCACTGTTGGTGGGAATGCAAACTTGTACAAACACTGTGGAAATCAGTATAGCGGTTTCTCAGAAAATTGGGAATCGATCTACCTCAAGACCCAGCCATACCACTCTTGGGCATATACCCAAGGAATGCTGATTCATACCACAAAGATACATGCTCAACTATGTTCATATCAGCACTATTTGTAATAGCCAGAACCTGGAAACAACCTAGATGCCCATCAACTGAAGAATGGATTAAGAAAATGTGGTACATATACATAATGGAGTACTACTCAGCAGAGAAAGACAATGACATCATGAAATTTGCAGGCAAATGGATGGAACTAAAAAATATTATCCTGAGTGAGGTAACCCAAACCCAGAAGGACAAACATGGTATGTACTCACTCATAAGTGGATTCTAGATATAAAGAACAATCAGACTGCAACCCACAGATCCAGGGAGGCTATATATATAGCATGAGGGACCCTTGGATGACTGTGACTTATAATAAGTTTTGGTTTTACTCAATTACTGAGCAAGCTTTAGTGAAACATTTCACTGTTAAGATAAGAATTTATACTGTATCAAGCTGATAATAGAAAAATAAATTAATTTTAAAAAATAAAACATAAAAATAAAAAATTAAAGAAAAATTTGAACTTTAAAAAAAAACCCAAACAAACATATTTTACTAAAGTAAAAAAGGGGGGAACTAGGGACTCATCATTCCTCTCCACATTCTATTCTTCCCCTTGTTTTATATATTTTAAATTTTTTATCGGTAGATTCTGCTGGAGTATCTGCTGCAGATAAGCACTGGAGGGCTCCTGTTGCAAATCACCCTCTGGAGCAATGGAAGGATCTTTCTACTGGCACTTGGAGGAGACCTGATCTGGTGTTGGTGTGGGCCTAGGGTTCTGTTTATGTCTTTCCTCAGGACAATGAGGTTCCTCTTTGGATTCCTAAGCACTGTGTGTGCCCTGTGGCTGCTTCTGAAGCCCAACATGGCAGAGACCTATTGGGTCTTCATGAAAAACTCTCCCCTTCTGATGCCAATGGGGATTGAGAGCCCAATATGGCCAGCCTTGGCAAGCATTAATGTAAGCCTAGGAACTGTAGCCATTCGGTTGGATTCTGCAGAAGAGCTACCAGCTTAAGTCATGCTGGGATCAAGAAAAATGGGCCTTGGCAGTTTGTGTTCCTGGAGTTGTATCCATGCCAGTGGATGTCCACATGCTCCAGAAGAGAATTTGACATCGCTGCTGCCATTGTTGCTGTTATAGCAGTGGCGGCCACCGCTGCTACTGTTTCTGGGATTACCATTTCATAATTGCTTACTACAGCTAGCACAGTGGAGACCCTGGCAGCAAAAGTAGCTACCACAGTTAGTTATTCTTTCATTTTATTGGGCATGATAAATTTAATTCAATAGTTATATACAGTAAGATTGGCTTTGAAAATTATAAATTTATAAACTCAAGTTCCATTTGCTTTTGGGATACCATCTTACAAGGACTCCAATTTGTATTAAGGCTCATTAAGGAAGGGAATGGCTCAATTGCCTTTAGCCTACTGGCTATGGGTGGGATAGGACCTCTGTTGGTCTTTTCTGTGTCGAACACACAGATTGCAAGCCCAGCGCCACTTTGAGATCTTTGGCAGCAGTTAACTCTACAGCTCACGTGGTTGAGCCTGTATGATGAGTATTCAAAGACGGGTAATGCTTGGGTGGCGCTCACCAACCTAAGACAGAGTGCCTGTGTGGCCTGGGCAGGCGTCTCCATGACGGGTAAGGTGACCTGCTGACGTCCTATGCAACCTAAGTCAGAAGCTCATTTTCTAGTAAAAGGGGGACCTGTAGGGTCCTGACCCCCATTTTGGGTAACTGTTGCCTTGCTTGCTGACCTTGACCTTGATATCCTCCCTATGCTAATTCCCTCCCGGATTTCACTCTCCTGAATGCTTAAGGGAAGTTTCTTGTCTGTGTATCAGGCATAAAGGACGTTAACAGCTTAGATGCAAGATTATAAAACATCGGTAGCGAACTTCTGCCCTCCAGGGTTCTCCCATTGTGCTGTAAGCCTGTATTTAAGACCTCCTCCCTCCTTTAATAAACAGCATTCAGCATTAAAAAAAATTAATTAAAAAAAAAAGTTCTGATGTTGGTGGAACTGCAGGTGTGTCTAGGTACGGCTGTCCCCTAGAATGTAACCCTCCACATCAGTGCTTTTAGCTGCACAAGAGGAACAGAGACATGTAGCAGTGGCCAGCACACCCTGGGCAAACATCAGCACACCTATAACTTATTCCAGTGGTTATTCAGTGAGATTCTTTTTGTGTGGGTGGGTGGGGGGGTTGTTGTTTGAAACAGGGTTCCTCTGTGTAACAGCCCTGGTTGTCCTGGAACTTGATTTGTAGACCAGGCTGTCTCTGCTTCCCAGGTGCTGGGATGAAAGGCATGCACCACCATTGCCTGGCTGATTTTTGTGTGTTGTAGCCTGGATGACTGGGAACTCACTTGTAGATCAGGTTGACCTTCAACTCAAAGATCTGCCTACCTCTGCCTCCTGAGTGCTGGGATTAAAGACCTGTTTTGTTTTGTTTTTCTGAGCAGAGGAAACATACATTTATTAAGGAATAATGAGAAAGAACCCCCAAGGGTGAGGAGTGCAAGACAGAACACTCTTCTTTAGTGTTTTTGAAATAGGGTCTGTGGTAGCCCAGGCTGGCCTCAAGCTAAGGGTGACTTTTCCAACCTTCACCCCTGCTTCTGCCTCAGTGCTGGAACCACACCATTCCTGCCTGGCCTATGTAGCCCAGGCTATGCTTAAAATTGCAGTCCTCCAGCCTCAGCCTCCCAAGTGCTGCACTAGAGCAGTGCACCACACAGGCTTTTGTGGCTTTTGCTTTTCTAGTTACAATGTCAACACACCCCAGGGTTATCTTCAGGCAGAAGAGGGCTGGCAGCCACACAGTGTGTCCAAGGCTGTCTGGCTGTACATACCAACAGAAAGAAGTTCTAGTCAACGTTGCTCCTAGTTTAAAGAGACAGTGCTGAGTGTTCTGTCTGTGGAGCCCCGCCCACTCTCTGGGGGCTCCTCATTTTTCCTTATTTATTTTTATGTACATTGATGTTTTGCCTGCATGTCTGTGTGTGTGGGCATCTGATCCCCTGTAACTGGAGTTAGACAGTTGTGAGCTGCCATGTGGGTGCTGGGAATTGAACCTAGGTCCTCTGGAAGAACAGCCAGTGCTCTTAACAGCTGAGCCACCTCTCCAGCCCTCACCTTCCCTTTATAAACCAATGTTCTCTTTGATAAAAATAATAAATAAAACAAAACAAAACAAACAAACCAGACACAGTTGCTTGTGCCTGAAGTCTTTGTACTTGGGAGATACAGGCCCTCCCTAGAAACCCTGTGAGGGGCTGGGGTGCAGCTCAGGGTTAGAGTGCCCATCTAGACACAAGACCTTGGGTTCTATCTCCAATACCATAGGAACAAAAAATTTTTTAAGCCAATTTTTTTTTTTTTTTCAAGACAGGGTTTCTCTGTGTAGCTTTGGCGCCTTTCCTGGAACTCATTCTGTGGCCCAGGCTGGCCTTGAACTCAGAGATCCACTAGGCTCTGCCTCCGAGTGCTGGGATTAAAGGTGTGCCACTGCCTCACCCTTTTAATTTTTCTTAACTTATTTTATGTACTCTTGTCTACATGCCATGTTTGCCCTGGTGCCAGCAGAGGCCGAATGAGGTCGTGTGGCTCTTCTGGAACTGGTGTTGAAGATGGTTATGAGCTGCCGTGTGGGTGCTGGGACTCCAACTCTGGTCTTCTTGGAGAGTAGTCTTCACTGCCAAGCCATCTCTCCAGTCCAGTTTTATTTATTTATTATGTATACAGTGTTCTGCCTACATACATGCTCGCAGGCCAAAAGAGGGCACCAGATCTCATTACAGATGGTTGTGAGCCACCATGTGGTTGCTGGGAATTGAACTCAGGACCTCTGGAAGAACAGCCAGTGCTCTTAACCTCTGAGCCATCTCTCCAGCCCCAGTCCAGTTTTTTTTAAACTGAGACTATAACCAGGTGGTGGCTCACACCTTTAATCCCAGCACTTGGGAGGCAGAGGAAGAGGCAGGAGGGGATCTCTGTGAGTTCAAGGTCAGCCTGGTCTACAGAGAGAGAATTCTAAGACAGCCAGGTCTACACGGAGAAACCCAGTCTTGGAAAAACAAAAACAATAAAAAGCAAATACTGAGAATACCGTCATGGTGTCTTTAAACAGATTCATTTGTTTTATCATAAGAGCACGAGACATTGGCTAGTCTGATTCTGTGCCTGAAGGTGTCAGAAGCAGCCTGTGTGGCACACAGGTGGCAGACCCTCCTAGGGGTGAATGCAGGCTGCTAGCTTGGCACCTACGCACACTCCAGCATCTGCCTCAGCAGGAAGAAGTTCCTCCTGGCAATTTGTATTGGCAGCCCCAAGGCTGCCATCAAAGCAGGTTGTGAGCCCCGGAGGAAAGGTACCTAGGATGAACACCCTAAGAGTTGATAGAACACACACAGTGACCACCTCCATTTCCAAGTATTGTGAAAAACAGGGTTTATTTTTAATGTGACAAAAGAGATCCCCAGGGAGGCACTCTTCTTGGCTCTGTGCAGTTACCCCTCCTGGCACCAAGACTCAGCAGCTTCCAGGGAACAGCTTTTTTGCAGGATTGCTGGTGTGCTGACTTGGCCCCCAAGTGGAGTGGGCCTCTAGGTGACCAGGGCAGAGTTAGGGGAAGTCATTGTAGGGCAAGCGGAAGGGGTAGAGTGGAGTGTATCTTGAATCCTGCCAGAGTAGCTTGTCCTCCAGGAAGGCGACGGAAGGCAGGGTGAGGACCAGAGTCTGGTGTTTGAGCATGCTGTACACATTCAGGCCTGGAATGTGAGGGCATGGTCAGGGTGTGGCTGCCCTCTAGTTCAGCCCCAAGTCCATCTTATCTGAAGCCGAGCCCTTGCCCTCCTCTGGCGTATACTGCTAGTCTTCAGATCTCACACCAGCGGCTGAGGAACTACCTGCCTTCACATCTGCCCAGTATTTGACTGTGACCCCCACACCACATTCCAATGAGGAGGACCCAGGAAGTGGGTAAACACACTGTATCACTGGGAGACCAGAATCAGCAGGAGGGGGAAAGGAGAGCTCAGGTGCTCATGGTTGCCCTCTGCAGGCTCTATGTGGAAGAGACTAGCAGATGTGCTTTAACAGAGCGCTTCTTTCAGAAGGCACCCCTGGGGCAGCTGGAGGCTGGAGGATGGCTCTGGACAGCACACACACCTAGCACAGGAGGCCCTGGACCCTGGCTTCCACCCCAGCACCATAACTAAATGGTGAACTCTTAGACACATCATCCAGGCATGGTGTGACAGGTACAGGGTTTGAACTGCCCAAGAATAACAGTGGGATCTGTGCTACTGGGGTGAGAGCTGGCCCATCACTCACCCACTGCAGGGATCAGGTTGAAGCTCTTGAGCCCAGAGGTGGCCGCCACAACGTTCTTGGGCATCTCCTCATGTGCCCTGGAACAGATGGAGGCTGAGAGAGTGAGCCTGGCAGGACACAGGAGACTTGGCCCCCCTTCCCCACCTTGCCCTGTGCCCTCACAAGTCTACAAGGAGCACGGAACTCCCCCAGTGGCGGTACTGGGCCAGCTCTGTCAGGTACTGAGGGTCTGCAGTGGGCAGCTCCAGGGAATCCACGATGTGGAGGTCATCCTGCGGGGAAAAACAGGATTTTGAGCTCTGCACTAGGACCCCCAGGTGCCAGCCGTTCTCCCTCCCAGCTGTTCTGTACCATACCTGCATCAGCTTGACGGTCAAGGCCACCTTGAGGCCCAGTGCCCGCACTTTCATGGGCAACATGTAGTAGTAACTTGTAGGGCCCCGGGGACCATGGGCTACGCCTCCTGCAGGGACAATGGTGTGTGACAGGTGCTGGGCACTGCTAGGCTGGGAGGTCAGAAATCAGCCTGATGCCTGAGACAAAGTGGTGGAGCGGGCGATGAACAGTAGCTGGAGGAGCTGGGGTGGGGGGCAGAAGATCTCACTAGGAACCATGGGAAGAGTGGGAAAGAGACTGGACAGGAGGTGGGGAGGAGATGGCCTGTAAACATGCATGAAGGTAGTCATCCAACTCTGGTATAAGAAACTGAAGTAGAGGGGTTGGGGATTTAGCTCAGTGGTAGAGTGCTTGCCTAGCAAGCACAAGGCCCTGGGTTCGATCCTCAGCTCCAAAAAAAAAAAGAAACTGAAGTGGAAAGAGTTCAAGGCCGGCTTAGGACGCACAGCAAGACCCGGTCTCAAAAGAAAAAAATTAACAACCAAGCTATCAAAAGAGAAGGGGAGGCCAGGGCTGTGGCTCCATTGGAGAGTGCTTGCCTAGCATGCACAGAACCTTGGGTCCACACCCCAGCACTGCATGAATAGGCTTGATGGTACAGGGTTCCCAGATCTCTGTCCCTCACTGCTCAGCATGCCTGGGTTCCAGCGCCACTGTCCCAGTGGGCTACTAACCTGGGGACTCAGGTGTGTCTTATCGTGGCAGCTGTGGGTACCTGAGGAAAGGGTCTCTGGGACTCGGGCTCCACTCACCTCCCCGCCATAGGGGGGAACGGATGCTGCCATGCCGGGCACGGCCACTGCCTTTCTGTCGCCAGGGCTTGCGGCCACCACCACTCACCTCAGCCCTGGTCTTGGTCTTAGCGTAGCTCTGTTGAGTACAAAGAGAGTGGGGTGGGGCTCAGACAATGGCAGTAAGGGCTGTCCAGGGGACAATGTGGGGCACCTAGGGAGGGAACGGGGGAGGAAAGGGACGGAGCCTCTCCCTTGTGAGGTAGGGCCGTGCTGCCCAGCTCACAGGAGCACCGGTCATTCTGAGCACTAGCCTGCTGGACTGAGACCAAGGCCTCCGTCTACAGCCCAGGCTGACTCTCAACTTTCAATGTCCCCTCCTCAGCCTGTGGAGTGCTGCAGTTAAAGGCATGGGCCATCACACCTGGGTCCTTGTTGACTCCTGAATGTTGTTGGCACAAAACCCTCTGCTCTGACTACAGGGTAATACTAGGCTCTGTGTGGTCTTTTCCACAGACTAGTCACACATGCTGTCCCCATTAATGTCCACTCTAGCTGCATGCCCTGTCAGCTAGTTAAGTCAGGCTATAAGTAGAGTGAGTTCAATGTCCCTGTATGTCTGGAGCATGGCTCAGCAGGAGAGCACCTGGCTGGTGATGTGGCTTAGTAGTAGAAATTCCCAAGCGAGAGCGTGGTGCCTGTTAACAGAGCAACTGCCCAACCTTTGAGGCTCCGGGCTCATTACCCAGTACACAGCACTAAGTACCTCTCTCTGGAGAGAAGGTGTGTGCCTGTCTAACTACTGATCCTTGTTCACCTCTCCCACTAGACTGTGAGTCCTCAGGGGCAGGGGTCTGCTGAGCTGCAGATGCCCTAGCATAGTACCCACAGTGATGGGTGCCGAGGTATGATCTGAGAAGCGACCTGCCTCTGAATGGTACCGGCAGACAAGGCCTGAGCCGGGCTGTTTCCAGAGAGCACTCTCACAGGCCTTGGAGCCCAGGGGGGAGCTCTGCCATGCTACTCAGGACACTCACGATTCTCTTGAAGTTCTTCTGCCAGGTGGCAACCTGGTGCAGAATGTCCAGCCTGGAAAAAGGAAGGGAGACCTAAGAGGGACACCCCAACTGAAACTCCCACACCTGCACCCCAGTAAAGGAACACTGGCTCTTCCTTTGGATGTTCAGGACCCTATGTCCTCCACCCTTCCCTGATCACAGCTGACACCACCTCAACTTCAGCCAGTCTATGTGCCACGGAGTCCAGCCAGGCTTGGTGGCTATGCCTTGACCTCCTGGTATTCAAGAGTTACGGCAAGAGGATGGAAAATTAAGCCGGGCGGTGGTGGCGCACACCTTTAATCCCAGCACTCGGGAGGCAGAGCCAGGCGGATCTCTGTGAGTTCGAGGCCAGCCTGGGCTACCAAGTGAGTTCCAGGAAAGGCACAAAGCCACACAGAGAAACCCTGTCTTGAAAAACCAAAAAAAAAAAACAAAAAAACCAAAAAACAAAAAAAAGAGGATGGAAAATTAAAGGTGCTTCATAGTAAGACTCTGCCTCTAAAACCCAAAGAGTGGAGTCAAACATCAGAACCTTTGTACCTGCTCTCTCACTGAAATGCTCTGGTCTTGGCTGGTTCCAGCAGGTTCAAAGCTCAAAGTACCAAAGAGGTGTGTGCATGTGAGGGGAGGGAGGCTGGAAAGATGGCTCAGTGGTTAAGAGTACTTGCCGCTCTTTGCGCCTTTCCCGGAACTCGCTTTGTAGACCAGGCTGGCCTCAAACTCACAGAGATCCTCCTGGCTCTGCCTCCTGAGTGCTGGGATTAAAGGCCTGCGCCGCCACCACCCGGCTACTTGCTGCTCTTGTAGAGGGCCCAGGTTCAATTCCCAGCACCCACAACAGCTCACAGCTGGTTTTTTTTTTGTTTTTGTTTTTTGACAGGGTTTCTCTGTGTAGCTTTGCGCCTTTCCTGGAACTCACTTGGTAGCCCAGGCTGGCCTCGAACTCACAGAGATCCTCTTGGCTCTGCCTCCCGACCGCCTGGCTCTGCCTCCCGAGCTCACTGCTGGTTTAACTCCAGTCCTGACCCCTTCCTTTCTGGGCTTCTGAGAGCACTGCACACATGTGGTGCACATACACATTCAGAAAAACACTTTACGATAAAATAAAAATCTCCCTCTTTCTCTCTTTTTGCTTTTTCAAAACGGGGTTTCTCTGTGTAGCCCTCGCTGTCCTGGAACTCACTCTGCAGACCAGGCTGGCCTCAAAGTCACAGAAATCCGCCTGCCTCTGCCTCCTGAGTGCTGAGATTAAAGGCATGCACCACCACGGCACAACTAAGTCTGGCCTTCTTACCAGTCATTTTTGAAAATGTTAATTCATGTATTTTTATTTTTACGTATGATGTCATATAGCTCAGGCTGGCCTGGAACTCATTTTGCAGCCTTGACCGTTGATTTCTCTATCCTATCTCTACTTTCACGGTGCTGGGATTAGAGGTGTGGGTTCTTATGACCGTCGTCTGCAACAGTGGAAGGGAACCGGGGGGCCGCCTCGTGCATGCTAGGCAAGCCCTCCAACTGTGCACATCTACTGCTCTAATAATCAACGTTTCTAGAGAATTTCCTGTGTGCTACATTAATCTACTTAGTCATCACCCAACTTCCTGAGGACGGGTAAGAGGGACCCAGCACAAGAGAGTAAGGCAGGATGTAACAGCTCAGGGGGGCTGTAGGGCTGAGTCCTTGGTCCTCCCGCCCCGCGGCAGGGAAACCGATCACCCCTTTGGTCACGCGGAGAAGCCGCGGCCAAGTCCTCCCAGTGCAGCGTGCACTCACCGGGGCGCCGTGGCAAACACATCAGGGTGCAGCTCTGCCAGGCCAACGCGCTCCGGCTCGAAGCCTCGCAGCGACTCGACCCAGGCCTGCACCGGGCGCCGGGGCGCCGGGATCCGAAGCTCGCACTTGCGCAACACGGGATCTAGGAGGCCTGGGGGTCGGGGAATGAGTGAACACGGGTCAGGAACAAAACCCAACACTTTCGGTGCACCCTGCCCAGCTCTGTGCCAAGATGTGATCGCGGCCGCCTCACCCACGCTATCCCCCGGCTCCGAGCTCTCGGCTGGCCGTGTCGCGTCCTCCGCTAGCGAGTTGAGGACCTGGAAACGATGGGCGCTTGGTTAGAGGTGCTCCCTGAGAGTTCTCAACCTTTGACCTCCGACCCTGACCTCAGCTTGGTGCCTACCCGGGAGCCAGAGGGTCGACGCCAGGCCTGCGAAGCGGCCCGGAACAACCGCAGCATCTCGGGTCAAACCGCACAGCCGAGAGCTCAGGCCCTCTGGACGCTCGCGGCGAGCGTTGATGACGTCGGACCACGTCAGGAATGGCGACTCCGCGGCCCTCAGCTCCAGAACCCGCAGCTTTGCTGGGGCCCCCGGGAGCCCTTGACAGCAGGAAGCCCCGCCCCTTAAGAGCGCGGCGCCGGAAGTTAACCAATGAGGTTGCTCGGCCCCAGAGACGCGCTTCTGCTTCAGCCAATGAACCTCAAGGATAGGTGGAAGGGGAGCCGACACGCCCATAGCTGGGTGGTACCTGAGCAATACGCCTTCATTCTTATTTTTTGTTTTTTTGGTTTTTCGAGACAGGGTTTCACTGTGTAGTTTTGCGCCTGTCCTGGAACTCGCTCTGTAGACCAGGCTGGCCTCGAACTCACAGAGATCCGCCTGGCTCTGCCTGGCCACCGCCAGGCATTTTTTTTCCCCAGTGTTAATCTTTTGGTTGACTTTGGATAAGCCTCTCCTGCCACGGTCCTTATTTTGACTACAACTTTTCTGTGTCTAACTTACCCCCTTTTGCCGTTATTGATATGAATTGATGTTTGTCTTTTAGAGTCAGGGTCTCACTCCTGACTAGCTTGGAACTCACTATTTAGCTCAGGGTGACCTCGAACTCACAGAGATCCACCTGATTTTGCTTCCTAAATACTGAGATTAAAGATGTGTGCCAGACTAGGGGTAATGGGTGCACGCCTTTAATCCTAGCACTCGACAGGAAGAGGCAGGCAGATCTCTGTGAGTTCGAGGCCAGCCTGGTCTATATAGTGAATTCCAGGACAGTCAGAGTGAGATCCTGTCTGGAAATGAAGAAAAAAAGGAGGAGGAGGAGGAGGAGGAGGAGGAGGAGGAGGAGGAGGAGGAGGAGGAGGAGGAAGGGGTGTGTGCCACGACATCTGGCTTCTGTTCTTTGCTTTTTCAATATATGAGTATTTTAATGTTTTAAATTTATTTTGTGTATGAGTGTGTAGGTCAGGATAACTAGGGAGTTGGAGCTTTACCTTCCGCCTTGTTGATCAAACTCAGGTCCCTTGGTTTGGCAGCAGCCACCTAACCTGCTGAGATTTCTTAAAAAACAAACAAACAAACAAACAAAACCAAGGCATCTCTATGTAGCTCAGGCTTTCCTTGGGTTGAGAGTCTACCTCTCTTGGTTTCTGGAGTGCTGGATTGCCGGTGGCACACACCACTGTGTTCACATGCTCAGAATAGCCTATTTTATATGTTTTCCCCCCCTTTTGGTGTGTGACAGGGTCTGATGCAGCTCAGGCTGGCCTCGATGTAGTCTAGGATAACCTTGAGCTTCCGATTCTCTTGCCTCCACCTCCACAGTCTCCTCTTTCCAAACCTGAAGACTCCAGGCAGAAACTTTCAGTGTTTCTTTTCTTTCTTTTTTTTAAAATTAGTCTTTATTTTGTGTGTGTGGGGGGGGGCTTTGGCTCGTAGATCAGTGTGCCATTTGTTTGGTTGTTGCCCTTGAAGGCTAGAAGAGAGGGTATCAGATCCCCTGGAACTGGAGCTATGACATGGACATCACTGCCATGTGGGTGCTGGGAATTAAACCCAGGTCCTCTGAAAGAGCAGCCAGTGCTCTTAACCACTGAGCCATCCCTCCAGCCTGCTTTCAGTATTTCTTAGGCCTACTTAGATTCTCCAGGCCTGGCTATAACCCTCTAGAATCCCTCCCGTCAATTCTGTGTAATCCCCCCCACCACCACCACCCACACACCCACACACCCACACACACACACACACACCCACCCACACACACACACACACACACACACATCTAATCCAGGGTCCTGCCCCCTCTCACACCTTCCAGGACTCTCCCAGGACAGGGAAAAAAAAAGTCATGGGATGAACAGTTCTGGATCACCTCACTAAGGTCCTCACCAAAAAAAATAATCTAAATGATCAAAGTTATAGTATCGTTTCTGTTCCACACTTGACCTTCAGAGGGCGCTGAGAGCTCACACATGGCTCAGGGCAGTCCACTGTGAGGTCTGGACAGAACTTAGACACTGAACCACCTTTTCATCCCCTGGATAATGGGGAAATAGACTTTAGTGAAATGAGGGATACAAAGGGTGGGATCCCTAGCACTGGATGAAAACTCGATAACCAGCATTAGTGATGCTAACACTGCAGAGCCTTGTGATCAAAGAGACAAGAAAAGACCAAGGCAGAGGCAGGTGGATCTCAGTGAGTTCAGGCCACCTTGGTCTACATGGCGAGTTCCAGGCCAGTCAGGGCTTCACAGCGAGATTCTGTCTCAAACAACACAAAACAAAACTCCCAAACCCAACCGTACACACAACCAAACTAAAAACAAAAACCAAAACAAATCAAGCAAACAAAAAACCAACAGGAGCCACGACACACTGATGGGGCAGACTCTGGAGAATTTAACAATTGGGCTGATATGTGGAGCGTTGTTGTTCTTTCTGCACCTATTATTAGCTTATTTATTTTGAGACTGGTCTCATGTAGCCCAGGCTAGCTGAGAATTGCTGTGAACTGACCTTCCTGTCTCCACCTCCCCTGTGCTGGGATGGCTGTCTTGTGCTACTATGCCCTGTGCATGTGGTGCTGAGGCTGGACTCTAGGGCCTCCTGCTTGTTAGGCAGGTACCCTATGCAGCCCCAGCCTGATTGATACATTTTATGGACATTTCTAGGATATGCTATTAAATTTCCTAATCGACTATTAAGCAGTGGTGGACTAGTGTGCATGAAGTCCTTGGCTCTAGCCCTGGCATTGCAAAGAGAAGAATGATTTGTTCTAGCCAGGGTGTTTTGTGTGTGTGTATGTGCAAGCATGCACGCGTATGCCAAGCAGCACATGTGGAGGTCAGGGCACAACTTTGGGTTGTTAGTCCTCTCCTTCTACCATGTAGGTTCTAGGGATCGAACTCAGCCTGTCAGACTTGGCAGCAAGCTCCTTTGTCCGCTGAACCTTCTCACTGGCCCCGGAACCCAGTGTTTTGGGAGTCTGTTTTTATTATGAACATTTATTTATTTGGGTTTGGGGCATACGTGTAGGTGTGGAGCTACAAAAGACAAAAGCTGTCAAAAGACAACTTGTGGGAATTGGTCCTCTCCCTCTATTATGGGGGTCCTAGGTCTTGAACTCAGATGTCAAGCTTGGCAGTAAGCACCTTCACCTGTGGGGCCCTCCTGACAGCCTGAATCCAGGTTTTTGCATGTGCAAAAAACTGGGTCTCTTTATGTAGCTCTGGCTGTCCTGGAGGAACTCACAGAGATCCACCTGCCTCTGCCCTCTGAGGGTGGGATTAAAGGCGTGCGCCACCCTGCCTGGCTGTGTCCACCTTTTAGTTTCCTCTTCAGTGAGAACCTGTGTGTGTTTCTGTGCGGCTGATTTATAACTCCTCCTCTTTACCCACATGTACAATGATAGGGCTTTGCTCTTTTCATGCTGAATAACATTCCATAAGCATATAGACCACATTCTCCTCTCTTCCCTTTCCCCTCCCTTCCTCTCTCTCTCTTTTCTTGCTCTCTCTCTCATTCATTCATTCATTCATTCATTCATTATTTCTTTTTTTTGGAGACAGGGTCTCACTACGTAGCACTGGTCTAGAGCTCACTAGTAGGCCAGGCTGGCCTGGACACCAGAGATCCTCGTGCCTCTGTCTCTAAGGTGCTGGGATTAAAGGTGCGGAGCCATGCCCGCTTCTTTCTTTCTTTCTTTTTTTTTTTTTTTTTTTTTTGGTTTTTCGAGACAGGGTTTCTCTGCGTAGCTTTGCGCCTTTCCTGGAACTCGCTTTGGAGACCAGGCTGGCCTCGAACTCACAAAGATGCTTCTTTCTTTTGTAGAGGGCATGCCTAGTCCTCCTGTTCTTAGTGTGTGAGCGGGTGTGAGCGGGTGTGAGGGTGGGTGGTGCAGCTGGGTACGCAGTGCAAAGATCGAGGCCCAGTCCACCTCAGTCCCCTTCTCCTTAGTTTTGGAGGCAGGGTTTCTCACTGAATCTGGAGCTCTCGATTCAGCCAGGCTGGCCGGCCAGTGAGCCGAGGCTCTTCCTGCCTCAGCCTCCCCAGTGCTGGGACTCCAAGCACTGCCACTGGCCCTGGTTTTTCCTACGGGTTGGGTCGGGATCTGAACTCAGGTCTCCACGCTTGCCCAGCAAGCACTTTACTAACCGAGCTCCGCCCCAGCTCCCCAGTCCTTTTTCATGTTCAGTTTGAGACAGTTTTACAGTTTCCCAGGCTGGCCTCTCCTGATTGTATTGCTCCCGTCTCCCTCTCTGGCATAACTGAGATTACAGGCCTGGACCACCATACCCTAATCCCACATTTTTTTTTTTTTATTCATTCATCTGTCAAAAGACACCTCAGTTGACTTCACACACTGGCTGCAATAAATCTGAAAAGAACCTGAGGAAACAGCTCAGTTGGCACAGTGCTTATAACTTAGTTGGTAGAGTACTTGTGGTTTAGTTGATGTAGTACTTTTAACTTAGTTGGCACAGTGCTCATAGTTCGTAGCTAGAATGCCTTCCTAGCCTACGAAGACCCTGGGTTCAATGCCCAGCACTGCAAAAACTGGGTGAGAGGCAACCCTGTTAATTCCAAAGGAGGAAGTAAGATGACCAGCTTTGGCTATAGTGAATTCCAGGCCAGGCTTGGCTACATGAGACCCTGTTTTCCCCTCCCCAGGAAAAAGAGGACCCCAGCAAATGGCTGGGTGGTAAAGGCACTTGCTACACCAGCCTGACAGCCCACATTCAGCCGTTAGAAGCCCCGAGAGGTGGAAGGAGAAACAACCCCCACAAAGCTGTCTTCTGACTCCCTTAATACCCCCCCACCACACACACATGCCATCGTGAGAAATGCGTTTTAGGATGAGGAATGCAGATAAATAGACGCTGAAGTTAGGGATCTCCTTGACACAGGAAGTTATTTTTCATCGCTCATGTACCCAGTGTGGTATAGCAGGGTCATATGTTAGTGCTATTTTTAGTGTTTTGAGGAACCTTCCTTCTGTTTTCCATAAGAACCCTGCTCATTTGCATTTTCCCCACTGGTGAGTTCCCCTTTCTCCGCATCCCCAGCAGGT